TCCTACCAACCTCTGTTTGATAGGAGAGCTGCCATCATCAGTGCAATTCATGAGCCCACAGGAGGTGAATGTCAGTGGGCAGTAGGTGTGGAGGAAGGGGCTTGGGAAGAAATGGGTGGAGAGCCTGAAGGAAAGGGGCAAATAAATGGCATACCTCACTTTTGGCTGACAGCTTTTAAAAATGTCAAGATTCTTGGTAAGTTGGTCTGGGAAAATGATGAAGTGGCACAGGGACACTTTTCAATGGTTGAGGAACCAATGAGCTTTGCTATAGAATTTGTCTTTAAATCAAACAAATATTTTCCAATGAAGTTCTGACAAAAACATACAAAGTTCTATCAGAGTCAGGTGTTTCTGATCCCTTCTAATCCAAAGGGCCAAAAATAATCAGCAGCACAGAATATGAGATCTACTGGAAAGAGAGGGGAAACATTGTGCAAACTATCAAACAGCAGAAATGTGAGGGCCATGGAAGTGTTATATCAGTAGGAATGTGCCCAGCTATTTCTTTTTTCTTCTTTAACATATTTCTCTTCTTCAGGTCCTCCTGAGGGCAGAGGACCAGATGCTGCTGCTGATTTTAAATTGGAGTATTTTTTCCGCAAACTTAAGATCCCAAAGTCTGTACCAGGCTTCCCTAAAGAAGCAAATGAATATCAGTACGAAAACTTTGATGAAGAGGAAGAGAGAGAGGATGGAAATGACAAACCAGAAGAAAGACTCAAAGTGGATATGGTCTCAGCAGAGGGCCGCCCTGAAAAATACAGGTATTATTGTATAGCCTTGAGTGTTAAGTAACCATTCCTGACATATACCTGTTACTCACAGCTTCATTTTTTCCTGTAAAATAAGTAAGAAAAATGATAGAAATTTAGTTTTGGAAAAACTGTTTAATGTTAATAATGTACTTATATCCTAGATAATATAGAATGCAATGTGTTCTGAAATGTACTTCATTCACAGCTACAGGTCCTTTGTCCTGTAACTAAGACTACTACAGATGGGAAATCTATCAGACGTGGAAATAGAAACCATTTTTTTTAGAGAATGGTCACCAGAAGAAGGAGCTAAAGGGAGTAGGCCATGCACTAGCCAGCCTTCATTACTTGGCCATAGAAATGTAGTTTCTTGTAATAACAATGCCTTTCAGCAGGTGACTCCTTACAAAGTAATAAAAAGTTAAGGATTTCAAAACAAGACCACATTTCATGATTAATTAACAAATATTAGTTCAATTTAGTTTTTTTATTCAAAAGAAAATTAGTTATAGTAAAATTATTAGCTATCACTGAATCGGTAATTAAGTCTTAGTTTGTATTTCCTCTATCCCTTCACCTTTCCTTCCTTTCTCTCTTTCTTTCTTAATTTTCACACCTGTGGATGTTTGATAACAGCCTCATTCTCATTTTACAGATATGGAAGCTGAAGTTCTGGGAGTTTTAAGAGATTTAACAATTTGTGTAAGGAGCACAGGCTTTTAAGGTGGAAAGACTTATTTAAATCACAGAGTGGCCTCTTAAGAAAAAAACCAAGCATTTATAGTGGTGGGCAAGAGGGAGACAAAGTTGGTGTGATCAAATGATTGAAGCAAGTGCACTCTGATATCCAGGAGTCTGCGTTACAAGAAAACATTTTGCTTTCTCCTTACTGAGGCAACAGGTGTACATAGGATTAACTCATATTTAGAAAGTCACTGGTGCACGTTATTGGTGTACAATTGTTAATTGACTCTTATTTCATCTTGCAGTTGGAAAGCATAGAAAAACACGGACGGGGAAAGAGAAGATGAATTTGTTTCCACGGGTGTTCAAGATCTCATTAACCCAAAATACTAATTTGTTTCAAAATTTATCTCCCCAACATGATACTAACATCTGGTTTTAGTCTTACCTTTTACAAATATATTTGGCGGCATTGCTCATGATGAAAATAAAAGCTTGTTTGAAATCCATAAACTGCAGATTTTTTTAATGTAAATAACACTGACTCAAATCTATCTTTGTATCTGTTTTACTTGTTTGGCCCACCTTGCTGTCATTGAAAGGAATTTCTTTCAACTATTTGGTGAGGCAGTTTTAAATTCTTTGTTGCAGGCCCAAAATAAATTGAAATATAAAGTTATAAACCATTTGTGTAATGACAGAGATGGTGGCCTAGCCTCTACTGTATTTTATTGAAAGAAATTGATGGATGACCTAGCAGGCCTGGAGACCAGATGATGCTGTTGGCCTGCCATGGAGCAGCAGCATCAGCATCACCTCAGAATTTGTTTGAAATGCAAATTATCAGACCCTCCTCCAGACCTACTGAATTGGATAGATTGAAGTTAGGCCACTAGTCATCAGGGTTTTACAAGTCCTCCAGGTGCTTCTGGGGCACACTAAAGTTGGAGTACCACTGCTTTAAAGCAATGGGAGAAATGTTTAACTTCACCTACGGTAGGACCAGCCTTAATTCACTGACTTGGTCTGAAGGTAAACTGAACAAGATAGTGAGATCTGGACTGAAGAAGAGACTAGAATTCTCAGGGGCCTGAGGCACAGAGACCTCCCAAAGGGATGTGTGAGTTTCCTAGGGTTACCATAACAAATTACCATAAACCAGGTGGTTTAAAACTGCAAAAATTTATTCTCTCACAGTTCTGGAGGCCAGAGGTCTGAGATCAAGGTATCAGCAGAGTTGGTTCCTTCTGGAGGCTCTGAAGATCCATCTGTTCCATGCTTCTCTCCTAGTTTCTTCTGGTGGTTGCTGCCACTCCTTGGCATCACTTGGCTTGTAAATGCATGATTGCAATTGCTTTCTTCATCTTCACATAGTGTTTTCCCTAATGTAGAACCTTGGCTGAAAAGAGGGAAATGCCAAAGACCTGGGGATATGGAGGTGAAATTAAGGTTAAGTCAAGAGCTGCCTTACTACATAGAACCCTAGGAAGTTGGAACTGGAAGGGCCCTGAGCATCCATCTAATTCAACCTTTTGATTGAAGTGATAGTGAAACAGGCCCCCAAATGGGAAGGAAACTGGACAAATGTCACACACACACAGACATGGCAGTATCAGAACTAGAGCCAGGGCTGCTGATTTAAGTCCAGTACCAAGACTGTCTTCAAATTAGCAACTCACATCTCTCTGTCTCTGTCTCTTTCCGTTCCTCCCTCCCGCCCTCCCTCCTTATTTCCTTATAGCATGTGAGAGGGAAGTCCAGGAATGCTTTAGAATTAGAAGAGAAGATATTCCCTGGGTAGAGCTTACAAAGGAAGGGAACACATAATTTTGTCTACCATTTCACAGAATGATCAGACTCTAGGTTAAGAACCTATGTCATACAAGACTTCATAGAATCCTAAAAACTCGGCAGGAAAGGACTCTGCCATCAAGTCAGCTCTTACTGAGCATCCTGACAACCCTGCTGTTTGACTATTTCCTTTATTAGAAGACTTTTCTGGTATTCTAATCACATCGGAATTATATTGCTTTTGGACAAAAGCTATTATAGTACTCAGAGTAGAGTAGGTATGATGTCAGCTTTAAAATAAATTAGGAAGATTAAAATAGATCAAATGAGAATATGTTGCTAAGAGTAAGAGTGAATCATTTTAAGATTGTGTTCATAAAATGTGTCATCCAATTCATGCATCTCTGGTCATTTTATATTTATTTTTCCTTTTTTCTGGTCATTTTATATGCAGCATTTAAATCAGTTTTCACTTGGATTTTTGATGTCATCATTACAAAATAAAACACTCTACAAATTATGCTTGCATTCATTCTGTATGGTAATTCACTTTTTTTTTCTGATGTTCTACTTCCCAAAATTTCTATAATAATTCTAGGTTTTGGGGGGAATAAGGAAAAATCATAAATGTGGTGTGACTTGGTCGTATGGTAGGTGCATATTTAGCTTTAAAAGAAACTGCCTAAGTAGTTTACAAAGTGGTTGTACCATATTACATTCCCAATAGCAGTGTATGGTTATTTCATTTGCTCCACATCCTTGTCAAAACTTAGTATAATTGGTCTTTTGAATTTTAGCCATTCTAGTGAGTGGGTAGTGATGTCTTATTGTGGTTCTAATTTGCATCTCTATAATTACTAACAATGTTGGTCATCTTTTCACATGCTTATTTGTCACTGATGTATTTTCTTTGATGAAGTATCTACTCAAATATTTTGACCATTTTGCTTATTGGGTTGTTTGTCTTCTTATCACTGAACTGCAAGAGTTATTTATACATTTTGGATATGGACCCATTATCATATATATAAGCTACAAATATTTTTCCAAGTCTTTTTCCATGACTTTTTATTCTCTTGACAGTGTCTTTCAAAAAGAGAAATTTTGAATGTTGATGTTCAATTTATCAAATTTTTCTTTTATGAATTGTATTTTCTATAACTTATCAAACCAATTTTAACCTCCCCAAAAAGCAAACTTAACCCAAAGTGTCAAAGATTTTTCTTCTGTTTATTTTCTTGATGTTTTATAATTTAGGTTTTACAGTTTTGCTTGTGATCTATTTTGACTTAATTTTTAAAATTAAAGTCTAATTGATTAAGAGTATCATGCTTAGTGAAATAAGTCAGACAGAGAAAGACAAATACTGTATGTTATCACTTTATATGTTGACTTAATTTTTTATATGGTGCAAGGTATGAATCAAAATTCTGTTTTATTTGTTTTGTGTAGTGTAAACCCAGATTTTTTTTTCCTTTTTGTAATGCAAGTGCCTGACTTCAGCTTTGATTGCCAAGGCATCCACCTAAAAGAGGCGTTCACTTCAAAAATGGTTATTTTAGATAAACACATTACCAGTCACAGGACTAGGTAAAAAAACAGGCTGCCTCCTCCCAGTGAGATTCTTTTGTTTCAGAGATCTTGGTTGGCTTCAATAACTGACCATTTGGGCCACTTGTTTTTTCTCTTCCTGTAAAATTTGCACTCTTATGCTTAAAATTCACTATTAACAAGCAAGCCTGCAAAACCCTAGGCCCCCACTCTCGACCCCAATGAAAGCAAAACCCCAGGTGGGGCTCTCTCTCTATGTCTCTGTTTCCCCTACCCCCTGCACCTTGTGACATCACTGTGTGGCCTCAAGTTTGCCAGTGTAATTTCCAGGTCCTGTAAGCAATAAACCTCTATTTTTAAAAAGTTTCCTGATGGTTATTGCTATCATAGTATGAACCACAAGGGCCAGTCCAATGGCAACACTTGTTATTGATAGGCTGAGACCAGCACACAGCATTTTGCATATGGCTCTCCAATTGTTCCAGTACCATTTGTTTATCTTATGCCAATGCCACACCATCTTAATTACAGTAGCTTTATAAGGCATCTTGAAATCAGCTAGAGTGAGCCTTCCAACTATGTTCTTTTTTTTAAACTTAATTTGGTTATTCCAGATCATTTGCATTTTTGCAAGAATTTTAGAATCAGATTGTTGATTTATACAAAAATGCCTGCTGGGATTTTTATTGGAATTGCATTGAATTGATAAGTCAATTTGGGGAGAACTGATATCTGAACAATATTGAAATCTTTCAGCCTGTGAACATGATGTATCTCTCCATTTGTTTAAGTCTTTAATTTTTCTCAGTAGTGTTTAATAATTTTCATTGCACATGTCATTTGTATCATTTTTTAGCTTTATCTCTTAATATTTAATATTTTTATGTCATTGTAACTAAGAATTTTTAAAGTTTCAATTTCCAGTTGTTCATTGCTAGTATATAGAAATTCAGTTGGTTTTTTGTTTTTTGTGTTTTTTTGGTATATTGATCTTTTATCCTTCAAACTTACCAAACTCATTACTTCTGGGCATTTTTTTTTTGAGCAACCATAGGATTTTCTACATAGATGAGCACGTAATCTGCAAAAAAAGACACTTTTGATTCTGCCTTTCCAATATGAATGAACTTCCTTCCTCCTTCCTTCCTTCCTTCCTTCCTTCCTTCCTTCCTTCCTTCCTTCCTTCCTTCCTTCCTTCTCCTCCCCTTCCTCCTCCTTCTCCTCCTTTTCCTCCTTCTTCCTTCTCTCCTTCTACTTGATTGCTCTGGCTAGAATCTCCAGTTTAATGTTGAATATAAATGGTGAGACATCCTTGTCTCGTTCTTGATCCTTAGGAAAAGGATTCAGTCTTTCACCATCAAGTATGTTGTTACCTATGGGTTCTTAATAAATGCCTTTCATCTGGTTGTAATCAACTGCTTTTAATTTTAAAGGCAATACAGTGTAATACTTCTGACAGGATAATAAATTAGGTATTCTGAAATACTTTCTTGCTGCACAGGCTGAATTGCTGAACAAATTACAGCAAATTTCCTTGTAAATGCATAGCTGACTTTGCAAGAAAGTAAAGGAAATCACCAAGGGCTAAAACTAAAGTGGTAAGTGAACACAGAAAGCACACGAGATCTGGGATCATATGCCAATTCTATAAACCTTGCAGCCTTGGGTTTTAACATTCTTTCTAGCAGTTCCACCTCAGTTTCCTTCAGCATCTCTCTTCTTTCTGTTGCTTAAGTATTGGTCTTCATCAGGGCTCTCTCCTAGGCTAGGCTCTCTTCTTGCTCCATGGTTGACCTCATCTATCACTATTTCAAGTATCACCTCTATGCTGATGACATGCAAATCCATATATGCCGTGTTTCCTTCCTGAGCTCTTATCTCTCAATCTAGATTTCTAATCAACAGCATCTTGACTTCGATATATTAAGACTTCTTCAAACTCGTATGCAAACTGTACTCACCTTTCCCTTCCTTACATTTATTCCTCCTTCTGCATTTGCTATGTTAGTGATTAGCATCACCATTTGAGAGTAATCAATGACTCTCTTTATCTCCTTCACCCTTCCATATCTAACATGTTTGGAAGGTTCCAGATACAGCCTTTTAAGTACCTCTTCAAGAGACCACCTTTTGACTTCATTGATTTTCTCTGTTGATTTCTTGTTTTCCAT